TCCTGCTTCAGCCTTCCAAGTATCTAGGGTTACAAGTCTACACTTCCTGACCTGGCTGCTTGTTCCTTTAATAGTTCTATTCTAAAATTGGTGTGTGTGTGTGTGTGTGTGTGTGTGTGTGTGATTTGGGAGTGGAATGTCTGAACAATTGAAATTTTCTGAAATATGGTCTAGTTCAACATCAGTAGTTTTACCAATGAAAAGTGAAACAATCAGTTTAAGTATATATTGTCAAGTGGCTAAGTTGGAACATATACTCAGGATTATTTTATTCTAAATATGGTGCTTTCGCTACTACATTTTATGATCATGAATAATTATTTAGCTTAATCCAACATGATTTGCTATATGAGACAAATAAAATGACTATTTTTCAATAAATGAAATTTAAAGTGGAGGCATTGTAGATTAAAAGAAACATAGGAGACATATCAATAAAATGTTTGGCATGATGTTTTTTTGTTCCTGATTAGAACAAACAAAATGTAAAAATACATTGAGAAAAATCAATAGAAATTGAACACAAAGGGGTAATCCATAGCACTAAAAAGTTGTCAATTTTGTTAGATACTACAGTCTGATCATTCTAAAAGGAAACCCTTATCTGTTAGAACTATGTAATCAAATGTTTACTAATGAAATAGTCTATCTGGTTATTTGCTATTAAATACCCCAGGGGAAAAAATTAAAAGCACAGAAATAGACTGGTAAATGTGGACAATGTTAGCAATCATGAAGTCTAGGGTTAATTACATTCCTCTGCTTTTGAGTATGCTGGAATTTTCCTCTTTTTCAAGGAGTCTTGCTAGGTAGCCCTTGCTGGCCTAGAACTCATGAGCTTCTTCCCTCCGGTCTGCTCCATGCTGGGATTACAGGCATCTACGACCATGCCTAGCTAAAATGTTTTCTTAAGATAATTAGCTTGTGCCACAGAGAAGGTATCATTCACACTATTAATCATTAAGTATCAAATTTTCCTTTTCTTTTAAATCAAAGACTAGAAACACTTTATCATGAATCTGTAAGATTTGGTAAATTCTGGCTCATGTCTTTTTCCAATCTCTAAATGACTGCCAGAAGAGGTAAAATTTTGCTTTGTATTTAACATGAGAATTATGAGCTTGTATCACTGTTACAAAATGCTTGACAGAAGGATTGACAAGGAGGCCTGGGTTCAAAGATCAGTCTACGATGGTGGGGCGGTCACAGCAGAGCACACATCCTGTCTGCCAGGCAGCAGATGGAACGCATGTGTTAGCTGGCCTTCTTCTTTCCCCATGGGACGGCGCCGCCACATTCAGGATAGGACACCCCCACTTAATGCTCTCTGTAAGCACCCTCACCAACATACAGAAGAACATATTTCAACCCAATTCAGTTAATAACCAAGAATGACCATCACAAGTATGCATAAAATGAAACCATTCTTTCCTGTTCTTTGATTCTTTAGCTTAGTAACCTTTAAAACATCAACTGAGCAAGAATTTCTAGGATGATATACTAAATTCCATTAGGCCCAGGACATAGCAGATGGGATATCAAGATGTCAAATTCATATATATTAAAATCATAAATGCATGTCTATGTAGGTATACAATAATAGAATTGATAAATATTGTAATAGAATATGAAAAATGTGCTACAAAGTCGCTAGAGGGAAATATAGAATTAAAAACTTGATCAGGGCTAGGGACATGGCTCAGTTTGTAAAGTGCTTGCTGTGTAAGCATGGGGCACTGAGTTCAAATCTCCAGTACCCATGTAAAGAGCTGGGTGCAGTAACATGCACCTATAATCCCAGCACTGGGGAGGTGGAGACCGAAAAGACCCCTGGGACTTTCTGGCTAGCCAATCTAGTTGAACTGGTGAGCTCCAGGTTCACTGAGGGAATCCCATCTCAAAAAGGTGGAGAGGAATTCAGGAAGGCACCAACATCAACTTCAGGCCTCCACATGCAACAAGTATACACATGCATCCCTGGACACATGAACTTGATCAACCATATTAAAGTGTGGTATTATCTATTTTTTTGTCTTTTTGAGACAGGGTCTCCCTGTAGCAACAGTTGGCCTAGATTTACTGTGGAGAACAGGCTGACCTCAAACTCACACAAATCCACCTGCCTCTGCCTCTGGAGTGCTGGCATTGAAGGTGTGCACTACCATGCCTGTCTGGTATTACCTATTTTTTCTAAAGACTATTACAAAACACGAAGTGGCAAGAAAATACAGCAAAATGTAGAATGTAAGTATTATAGAAATTTGTTGGGTAGTTAAAAAAATTTCTTGAATTTGGGGGTGCTTGTTGTATTTGATGACATCAGTGAAATCTACTGCAGTATCTAGAGTACAACTCCATCTCCCATTCTCGCCCTGCTTTAGTGTTTGAAGGAAAAAAAAAACTGTAGGGGGTAAAGCAGTTACACCTGGACCAGTGTTCAAAGCTGGGCAGTTGCCTGGGACATGAGTCAGATACTGGTGCTAAACTATAGTGACACTAACATGTCACCACACAGTAGAGTGGGAAGTACTGCATTTGCTAATATTCTTGGATGAGATCTCAGGGAGACCTAGTCTGCTTAACTGCTGAGTTTTATATTACTGAGTAGGGTGAAAAAAATATGAAATCATATCTGGAGTACATATGAAATATGTACATGGAGTACATATGAAATCATATATGGAGTGTGTATGAAATTATATATGGAGTTCAGAGGGCAACAGATGACAGAATTGCCACTGAGTTCTCCATTCTTCCCAACCACATGGTGTTCCATCTTTCCACTAAATAAACGTCAAGAAAACAAAAATTTTAAAAAAGTATTATTGATCTGCTCTAGAAATAAAAATGTGAGCATGGGTCTCTGGCTGTGACTACATTAAAGCGCTCTTTGAGCACTAGATGCTTTTTTGTATAGGCAGCTCTCATGTATAGACAGAAAAGACAAATGGGAATTGGATCTGGGTCTGGCTGGATCTGTCACTTAGCTTCTTACTTTGGGAAAATAACAAAGGAAAAAATCAAGTTTTACCATTTCTAAAATGGAGATAAGTTTCTTTTATGACAAAAATCCTGTTTAAACGAATTTCTTAAAGTATCTTTTGTTTGGAATAAAGCTACAAGGTTAATGTATAATTTAAGTTGTAATGAAAAGACAATGCAACATGTTTTAAATCTCAATTTATAGCATGTCTTCATGAGCTTCATAATTTAAAGAACCTTCAACACCGTTTACTGTAATGTTAGGAAAAGACAGATACACATGTGTTAGGACAAGACAGACATGTATCTAAAGCAAAAATAGGTATTTTGTCTTCTTGCTCACTTGAGCTTGTAAAGGAATGGCCCTTATCCAAATAAAAGCTCACCCTTAAAAATAGTTGGTCAGTCTCTAATTTGCCAGCTAGGTAGATTCTTAAGCCATACTTCTTGTCAGCAAGAAAGGTGATCTGAAGAATGAACAAAAATAGCCCATGTTCAACAGCTGTGATGTCTATAATTTATAAGCCATCATCTCTCCTCAGATTACCATGGTGTACACACAGAGATGTGTGTATTTGTCATTTGTGTATTTAGAACTTCTCAGAAGACAAAGTTTGGCTATATCTTATTCTTTCTGATTAATGCTCTTTAATATAAACAGTGTGATGTGAGACTTCACGGTTGAGGAATGTGACAAATGTCTAATCTTTAATAATAATTTATCCTTAAACAGCAAATAATCTTTTTGTGTTAAATTTTTTTTCATTGACAAAACTGCAAGCATTTGTCATGTATCATGTTTTAAAATACGTGTTGGGGAATGGCTAAACAGAACTAATGTAGGTATGACGTCTCATGTTTATGTTTTCTGTAGTAGGAAACAATCTTTAGGCATGGGAAGACAGGCCAACACTAGATAATGGCAGAACATTATAACAAGGGGAAGGGAGGTGGGGAGGATGAGATTGCCTCATCACCAAATCCCTTGTCCATCTTTAATATTCTGGTCATTATGATTCTAGTTTCTTTTCACCACCTTTCCCACTTCCATCTTCATTTCTCACCCATCACCCACAATTCCTTTATCCTTTCTGTACTTTACTTTTATTTGCACATGTAACTTATCTTCCTATTTTCATTCACTATTTTCCTCTTGTCCAGTCCCTCACATGCTGAGTCTCTATAAAGACTTACTTATTTTGGTCTTTTTGAAACACGTCTCCCTATAGCTCCAGCTGGTCCAGACTCACTACGTAGACCAGGCTGGCCTGGATCTCACAGATCCACCTGTCTCTGCCTCCTGAACACTGGGAATAAAAGCGTGTGCCATCACGTCTGGCTCTATAGTATATATTTATATGAACATGTGCTAAAATTTGTGACCTACCGGGACTACGATTACTGGGGGACTTTTGTTCAAGTTAAAATCGAGGGCTCCGGAGGGCAGGGCGTCTTCCCTGCAGACTGACATGACTGCTCTAAAGCGAGGTGACACCTGCAGACCACCCAGCCTCTGTCCCCATCCTGCCCGGCCTGAGGCAAGTCTCCGTAGCCCCAACTCCATGTCTAGCTCGTTCCTCCCGCGAGCTCGGTCAGTCCCGAGCTCACGTTCCCATTCACTCCCGCGGGCTTTCGGAGAACGCCCTCCGTCCCCCGCCGGCCGCGGCCCAACCGCGGCACCTGCCGCCCCCAGGGACGCGC